CAGTGCACCACAATACAATATATGTATTGTTGTGTATCGCAGAGGTCTCAGCTCTGCTGTACAGTGCGTTGAGGTGTGATTCAGCACCACAACACACAGCAAGTGAGTTGCCATGCGTTGAGCCAATTTAGCATGTGTTGCCACAATTAGCAAGTGTAAATGAGCCCATTTGACATTTTGTCATTAAGCAAAAGCCTTTATACAAAAAATAAGGGATTTACTCTAAATACATAATGATGTGTCGTACAAACATGCCAAATTAATAAAAAATGAACTGCAACACACCATATACTTCAAATTAATGAAAATAATTAGTGTATCTTTCTTTTATGCAGCAGTGAGTATAATAATAGTAATTTCTATTCAAGGATAACACTGGTGCTGCTTTTCGTTTCTTATTTACAATTGTCCTATAGTCTAATGCAAGAAAAACAAAATAAAGAAAAATATTACGTTTTGTAAACATTTACCAACAAATATGTAGCTACTGAATTTCAATGGATATGAGGTTTACCGCAGTCATTAATTGGAAAGGGTGCCTAGTGAAATAGCCACAAATTAAGTTACAAAAGATGCTGATTGACTTAACATGTAGACTATTTAAAGAATGCAGTAACAGCTCTACGTTTTTATTTCCTTTGGGTAATGGGCCTATGCAGCTGATTCCTAGTCTTGCAGAGCCAGCATTTTTCAAATGGCAAATTCTTCTGTTTAAGCACTTCTCAATGACCAGTTGCAACCGCCATTAATGATCTACTGAACACTACTTTCTAATTAAAAAAGTTGATCTAGAAGTTTCAGTTCAATTGCTTTCGATCTAGGTATGTCCAGTTTGAGCAATGTCTCTAGTTTAGTTAAATTATTCCCACTTTACAGATGACTTCATCTTGTAAAATAAACCCCATGTATCATCATTAAGTGAGGAACACAAATTAACAATTCTAGCATGTTGACAGGGGCATGGCCCACCATAAGACAGCTTATTATAGTGCATGTGAACAGATGGTCATTTGACCATGGCTTAGAATTAATGTTTACAGAAGTCTTTAACAAAATACAAGTAATTAAGATATGAAACTTTTTGCAGTGGATCCTAAGGGTTTGCTGCATTACTACCCTTCTTGCTAAACTAAAAGAGTCACATTACAAATAATGCTAACAATAATGCCTGGGGAGCAAATAACAACACAGCAGATTCACATACAAGTAGGTCTAACTTTACTGTCTTACTTCCTGCAAACTCTTTAGTTGCCAAATTCATTGCCATTAGTAAAAAGATCACCATTACCGTGAAGATATACAGTTATCTTTACAGTACAATGATAACATACACAAGATATGCAAACACACATACACAGACATAGACATGATCACCTGTTTTATTACATAAGAATGGATTAACCATTGCAGTGACCAATTAAAGTTTGCACCATTTTTTTGAGTTTGATATGATGTAAACTGTTTTTTGTAGTAATGTGTTCAATACAGGTCTGCCAGGTATTAGGCACTAAAACATTCAATGGGCCACTATAAGGTTAGTTCACTGCTAAGTAAAATATATGTTTGTGTTATGTACCATAATCTCACATATACGTTAAGTTACTATATCAAAAGTAAAGCCCCATAACACCCTGCTTGTCTCTCATGGATGATGGGCTAGCCCTTCATAGTTTTTAAGGGAAATACCTAATTTAAGAGATTCAGAGTAGCAGTGTGAGTAGGAAGAGTGGGTCATCATAATAAACCTGAGGAAATTGATTAAGCTTCATTATTAACAGATCAGAAGAGATTTTACTCAATTTGTGTAAAGTTGTTGCGTTATAGCTGTGGCTAGAGTGCATAGGTCTGTGCAGATGTCGCTAGAGCATATTTTGTTTTTTAGTAAATAACTGTTACTCCTGCTTAAAATGACTGTAAATCTATTTTGAAGCGGACTATAAAAAGCTTCCAGTAATATAGCCCATTATATTATAACTTATTACTGTCAGAGCAGAGTACAGATAGGTCACAAGGTGTGTGCAATATATTGCACACATTTTATGAGCCCCTTACAAATGAACAGCAAAGCACAGTTAAGTGAAATGCAAATGATTGCCTCTGTGTATGTTAGTATGTGTAGCAGCATTGCTTTTTTTCATTAAAAGTTTTCAAAATAATTTAAAAAAAAAACATGGAAAAAAAACTAGCCTGCAACCCAATTTAAATTGTTCTTCTAATTAGTGGTAAACTGTGCTTTGTGGAAACCTCACTAAAAAAAACAAACACTTTCTGCCATGTGATGGTGTGTGTATATTTCAAAGGAAATATATTTTGTAAAATATAGAATTCAGTTGGGACTCACAATTCATGAATGAACTATAAAGAGAACAGTAGCCAAATAATGACATTATTCTTGCATTTTTATAATAGGATATTTAGAATTCATTTTTTTTATTTATTTACAAAGAATTACTGTTAC